ATATAATATATATTATTAATATAATATATATGTTACCATATATATATTATATATATATACATGTATATATTATGCGGAAAAGTTGCACATACGCTAATACTAAACCACCTCCATTTCTAAATCTAATATTTATATTCATGATGTTTCCCCTGGCAAGGGAAAGCGAGCCAGAGGCCCTCTCAGATTGTCAGACGTCGTCTTTATTTACGTTCCTTTTCATCCCCACAACAACACTCGGGGCCATGGCGAGGAGACTAGAAAATAAAGACTTAATGTAACATATTCTTATGGATCGTTGGTGAGTATCACCATCATGAATATTAAGTAACTATCCATTAACTAGTATAATTACACGGGAAAAGTTATAATAATTCTTCAAGTAAATCTGAAAGTGAATCAAAGTGGTTTGACATTTTTCCTATTTATTTCTTGTAAAATAATTATGGTAATGTTTTCATAATTCCGCCAAATGGATCGTGATGATTTTAGTATCGCTGGATTCCTTCTACTCTCTAGTTTCCCAATTATTCCGCGGAAACCACCTAAACCCATAGCAGGGGAAAACCTGAATGGAACCAGGGAATTGTGGGTTAAAATATGAATAATATACACAGAATCAGTCACTATGTTGTCTACTCTCCCCTCCCCCTGTGGCCCTGTGAGGGGATGGCACCCCCAACCCCTGCCCAGGAAAACATAGAATCCTTTTAGAAGTCACAGCAGGAGAGAGTGTGCAACCGCCATATTTTTTGTTTTTCTAGGTGGGGATTGCATTACACAATATAGTGACTGATTCAGTGTTGATTATTCATATATTACCCTGCAGTTTCCCTGATACCTTTCATTGCCTCCCCTGCTATCAGAGCCAAGTTTGTCACTAATGGGGGGCTTAGTGGGTTTATGCATAATTAAACATACAAATTCACAAATTCTCATTGTAGACAGTGAGAGAAATCCAATGATACCCATATTGTTGCAATCTGTATGATGAATTGAGGAAAAAATTACCATAAGTATAGATTTATTGGTGCTTTTTTTATAGTCATGATTTGTTATTATGTAAAGTTTCAGATTGACAGACAATGATGTTTACCCAATTATTAGGCTTTGTTGGGGGGCTTAGGAGACGGAGACTAAGGCCCAAGGTATAGGAACTCCCCTACCTTGGGCCTCAGTTTATACACTTTTGCCCCCTGCAAAAAATACTGTAATGATGCTCCTGGTCACAAGCTTTATCATGCCAAAATCTAAATGATGGAAGTTTGTTGTTAAGGCCATGACGCAGGATGGGAACGGGATCTACTCGTCCCACCTGTGTTTTGGCAGTTGCCATCCCAGAGTGAAGCTTGCGGGAAAAAGCATGAGGGAGCCCCACAGATGGATGATGGGTCCCGTAGCCTGCCGCCCCCTTTGATTTGGGGCAATGTCGGGGTGGATGTGCAATGGTGTCCACCTGGAGTGACAGAGGCTAAACCTAAAGCAGGAAGTCAGGGTGGGGGCTTGGAGCATCCGTTCTTTGTATCAGGATGATTGGTTGCCTCTGCTGTCAAGGGAACTGGGGAGGCTGAGAGTGGAGGTGGCTACTCTCTCGGAGGTGAGAAGACCTGTCAGCCTCTGCTGTCAAGGGAACTGGGGAGGCTGAGAGTGGAGGTGGCTACTCTCTCGGAGGTGAGAAGACCTGTCAGCGGCATGATCAGTGTAGGTGGCTACACCTACTACTGGTAGGCAGCGCGAGCGCGCAGTCACCATCTCCAGGGAGTAGCCATGGCCATCTCCAGCAGACTCCAGCCCTCGGTAGCAGAGGTTACTTCAGTCGATGAGCGTATAATGGTAATGAGACTGAAGCTATCATTTGACTTCATGTCTGTTATTGCTGTGTATACTTCTACCGATGTTTGTAAACTTGACGTGAAAGAGATTTTCTACGCCAAGCTAACATCTGTGTCAGACAGGTGATCCCAGCGAGATATTTGTATTGCTCTGGGTGACTTCAGTGTGGTATCTGGCTGTGATCAAGCTGGTTATGAGATGTCTGTCGGTCCCCACGGTTCAGGAGCTGATGCCGGTAGTGAGAATAGCCTCCTTTTTTTGGACTTTGTAGATCCCAGAAATTGAGGATTTCTGGCTCCTGCTACCACTGCTGAGACCCACATTGTTGGACTTGGTACAGCGATGCGGGTACTACAGCCAAGGAGATCGACCACATACTCGTTACCACTCGTTGGAGGATCCTCCAGAACTGCAGGTTGTATAGAATTGCTGAGTTCTATGATACTGACCATAGATTGGTTGTGGCTACCCTCCGGGTCCACTTCAAAACTCCCCAGCGGTCCAATGACCACCCCAGGGTGTTTCACTTGGTCGTTTTGCAGTGATCGACAATCCTTTACTTTACCTTTACTTCTGCTTTCTGCAGCTCAAGTAAAGTTTGGTGAACACCCGAGAATAAGACGGAATTTCATCTCGCAAGAGACACTAGATGCCACAGATGCTTGTTGTA